CTCAGATTTTAAAACGCCAACCTTTATTTTGTAACTATGATTGGAGAATAAATTAGGGATAAAGCCAGCATGTGTTGGCTTCTTATCTACGTCCATGGTTAACTCTTCATTTGCTCTGATCACTAAGAATCCCAAAAGGGTAAATTATCCTCTATCTCCGCTGTCAACTCAAAATTACAATCAATCTGATTAATTAAGAACAATAAATTATCTTATTAGGATCACAATTAGTATTATGGGACTGCAATTGATTTTTCTCCTTTATGACTTTTATGAACTTTTTTAAGGCATTATTTCTTGCTGACTAGGTCTAGCACATGATATAAGAGACCTCCATGCGTATTCACTGGAATATTTTTTTCTATTTAATTCTCTGTAGCCTTAAGTAATATATTTTACTGCTACACCCTATAGTGACTAATGTTTTGGCATTCCTGAAGGCGTATATTTTTCGGTACTCTGATTTCAGAAAGCCTGGCTTCATTTACGTTGTTTGGTCGTCGAGAGTCTGGTTTACTCCTCGGGTATTGTTATGCATGGCGTCGCTTACATTGACCATCGACTCAAACTATCTTCATCATCAAGCTTGACGGAGAATTTGGCCTCTGTTGGCGATCTCATCAGTTGTTCGAAAGTTTTGACTGAACAAACAGCCATGACGTGTGCAGGTGACAAGACAGTAGAGGCCCGCAAGGGCCGCAAAAAAAAGTCTCGCTTTGGTCGACAAGAGGCTTCAGCTCCACAATTAGGAGAAGTAGAAACCAAGCCTTGTATGAAAACGGGCAGCAGCAATCAACCCAACACCGCACTCAGGCCTGGCAGAATGGACGAGGGTGCTTTCTCATACCTGCTGACTATGGCTCCGGAGGAACGGGGGGCCATCTACCTCGATCGCTTAGGACAATGTAGAAATGATGTAATTGATTTGAAGAAGGCTGTAGCTCAACCGGATAGCAAACATATGCAATCGATAAATTTATTGGTGGGTAAACTTGTATATCGTTCTTTGCCAATATTTCGCTTAATAAAGAAATAAATTCCTAACTCTGAATAATCACTTAGTGTTTTAGATCTTGCTTTGATAAAAAATGTCATTCTCGTACTTCATATTGTGGCTGGTTCTATCAAACATGTCAGAAAATACACCTATTTTCTAAAGTATAAGAACCAAGATGGTGTGGCCTTTTGTGTGGTCGCAGTATTCTTTCGTTGTATATAAGTTGTTTGAACTTGTTTTCGCAACTCGGTCATATTGGTAGGAAGACTTAGAGGAACGCACCTAGTCCG